GAACCCACTAGCTGTTAAAAACATGCTGACGTGAAAGACACGCAATTTTAATTAGTGGATTTTTACGGCTACTGATGCAATATTGACCGCCCTTGTAAAGGGGCTTGAAAAGCAGTGCGACCGTGAAAATATCGCTGCTATAAATACCGGGCGGGTGGACACTGCGAACGTTAGGCTGCAGACTGCAAACTATAACCCTGAAGGTGGGTCGCATGATGGCACTAAGCGTAATCTCGATAATCAACAGTCAATATATGTCAGCAACTTGCCATTTATTATTGGACTTATCTAATCGTACGTGGGTATGATATAGACAATACCTGCATGCATGAAGCACACCGAGTTGGCTTGCTCGTATGCGACATTAACATTATTCTTGAGGCACTATCAATTTTTCAAATAAAGAATACCTTCATACTGTAAGCGGGCAGATTGCATATGGCGGCAGCGGAGAGCGATAGCGATGGCGGGGAAATGCAAATCTTTGGCGCCAACAGTGTCGAAGAGGGTTGTCACAACATGCTGAGAATGGACGCTACGCGAAGCCAGTCGAGCACGTCCGATAGTAAGCGCAATGGTCGAGCGCGGAGCGATTCCCGGGCATTGCGCATGTGAACAACCTAGACGCTGACCAGATGACCTACGACATCAAGAGCAGGAATGGGATAGGGAATTCGGCCAAGTACCGAGCCGAGAGCGAAGACATGCATATCGCCGTAGCATTCGCTCTGAGTATAGAAGGTATAGACTGCATTCCGTATTTGGTATGTCTAGTTGGCCCGAGGAAGCGGAAAGGGAGCTATAAACGAGAGGTGACGTAGAAAAAGGGCGCGGCGTATATAAGGTGGAAGCCATCGCTCTCGAGCTGCTTGTAGAAGACACCCCATCGAGAAGGTGTAAGTGCGTGATACGGTTGCTATGTAAAATGATACGGTCTGCTAGTCTGTAGTACATTGAGTTTCTATGTTGTATTATGTAGTAAAACACTACTGAACGCTACTTCTCGTCTTGTCTTGTCTTACTTGTCTCTAGTATCATTACAGAACGCTCTTTAAACAAGTAGCGGATCACGTGCTACAATACATTGCGATAATAATCATGTAGTCAAACCACTGTGTTTGCGGCGCTGTCGCTATAAAACTGCCACGTATTCATAAATGCGCCGTCGCAATTGAGTGCCAGGCACTTATTATGGCAGTGCAATCGATCAGCCTTCTATAACAGCAGAGGCTGCTGCACGGCTATCGCACATGATAACTAGCATGCGGCAATATTCTGTATGCAAGTTCTGGCGTGTATCGAACTACGCTCAGTGAACTTGTATTCCTGCCGATCCAGTTGATAATTGGTGTGGATCAAGAGGTAATTGGATCGACGTCACGCCGCGACATTTTAATTCATTGTGATTACGTTGAATAACAAAAGCATGACCTAGCGATACAGATTGTCTAGGTCCATACATCCCAGGTTTACTAATGTAAGAGGTGATTAGTGTAATAGGGCAGAGCTCGTATTCTCCAAAATTATCGTTGTCTCTCTGCTCTATGTAGTATGTATGGCAATGCCATCAGGACGAGAGAGTTTAATATTTATTTAAAAAAAATGATGTCTAAATCGAAGAAATACGAGTGGGACATTTGGTAAAAAATCGTTCACTGCTGCGAATTAGGGTCCCATGTGGCCATATTATACAGGGTCAGCACCATCGCCCTCTGTTGACTGAATTTAAATTTTACGCAGCGTTATATCAGCCCGGACACCTAAAAATCGTACAGGTGTTTTAAATTTTAAAGGTACTCTCTTTCGTGAAATTCCAACAAAGACCAGTTTATTTGCAGATGCTGGGCATGCTCGAAACTCTGGTCTCTCGTTTTGTTATGGGTAAATATGGTGGGCGACAAGTGAAAGATGCGTATCAAGATTTTCCTGGCAACTAATAGGAGGATGCGCTCACTTGATTATAATTTTTCAAAGCTAACATTGTTGATTAATGTGATAAAAGCTCGCAGCGATAGCTTGCATGTTTTGTATCAGTCACACATAGTTGGCCATCTATGATTAATCTGTAATGGCGGTTCGCGGTTCGCGCTCACTACACTAACTTACTGTAGTGAAGCGACATACCGCCTGTAGATCATTAAGGTGTACATCTATGACAGTTATCCTAGCATAGATCCTTACATGATAAGACTCATATGAGCGCAAAACTCATACAGTCATCACACACGCCTTCCCGTTGCCTCTCTTGTCGCTCGCTCAGCCTGCCTCTTCTTCTCCTACCGCCCACTCAGCTACGCTGCTGGCCGCCT